GATTACAGACATGTTCTACCACAACTGGCTATCAGATATTTTTGTAAATGAAATTATATACTATGTAGCTCCTTTTATTTAGTTAGTTTTTTTAATTAAAAAAATTTTTTAATAACTACATGATTAGAAGAAGCATTTCATTACAGCCTTAACATGTTCAATAACACACTCCAGAGCAAGAGTACACCTCTTTCACAAGTGGCTGTTTAAAAAAAATATCATCAGGGGCTGGAGAGATGGCTCAGCAGTTAAAAGCATTGATTGCTCTTTCAGAGAACCTGGGTTCGAGCCTCAGTACCCACAGGGTGGCTAAGAGCAGTCCCTAACTCCAGGTCCAGGGGCATCCAACACTTTCTTCTGACCTCCGAGGGCCATGCACAGCACCTGTGTACTTACACACATGCTGTCTATACACTAATGCACAGAAAATACAAAAAATAATGAAAGTTAAAAATTTTATCATCGAATATCTGTTTCAAGTTGAGATGTGTTTATATATAATTTTGTTACAGTATATTGGTTTAAATGATATTAAACCATTCATTTAGTATTATCTTCTTAGCAGAGTATTTCTGAGACTTTTATATAAGGAATGATTCACTATTATTATTCTCATTACTATTCAAAATATACAAATCATAAAAATTCAGTCTAACATGATATTTAGATTTCTTATTACTCATGCCAGATCCTGAAGATCACTGTCTTGGAAATTTGGAGATGTTAGAGATTTTTCCAAATTTCTCTCAGTATTTAGAAAAATACATAAAATTTCCAAGAAATTCCTGGAATTCCCATGTAGAAACATTGCCAGATACTATGCTGTCTCAGTCCCATGCATTATCTCACTTAATCTCATATGTGTGGGAGGGGTATAGGAACTTCGCTAGTTCCTGGTTCAGAATTGCAGATGAGGAAGCTAAAACATACATGATGGACAGGTGACATCATCAGTACTGCATAGATGGTAGCAGGCAGAGCAAGTTTAAACCCAGGCTGCCTGACTCCCAAGCTCATGCTTTTAGCGGATGATGAATCATTGTAGATGCTACCAGATGTGGGCTTCTGGAACTGAGGAGAACAAATAGAGTTGGAAATATAAATGTGTATTTGTCTGTGTGAATCTGAAGGGCCTGCCAGGCCAGGTGTACCGCTTGTATGGGATAGAGTGCTGGTGTACACTGAAGAGTGGGCTTGCTGTCCTTCGAACTTTCCAAACTGTAGTTCCGCACAATTTTACTTTCCCTATTTGGAAGAAGGAAGATGAAAGGGAGAATTATTTTCATTCTTCATTTCAGCAAATTACGTCTGTCCCAGCACAGGCCCTGCTGGTTTTACAGAGGGCTGTGTGCTTTGTGTGATAATCTGGTGTTTGCTGGGGAGTTGCTCCTGGCTTGCCTTCCCTTTGTTTACATAAACAACCCTGTTCTATTATGGCTTAAGGTATCTTATGAGTGTGTCTCATCTGTGCCCTGATTATATCTGAGTTGGCTGTACCATGGTGTGTCAACCTCATTTAACTACATTTTCTTATGGCTACACCCTACAGCGTCTGCTTCTGGAGACAAAGGGAGGAAAGCAACTTTTAGTTTGCCCCCTTTGCACGTGCCTGAATCCTGCTTAGAGCAGCTGCTTAAAATTTTCTCAGTTGTCTCTGGAAATGTCAACAAAATTGCTGGTTTGGTGTAAACTGACCAACGTTTTAGAATTTTAGAGCTTAAGGGAAGAAAAAGAAATAAAACAGTAGCAGTATGTGAAATTGTAGGGTTGATTGCTCCACGGTTTATGTGCTTGCCTGAAAACACTAGGATATGTGCTGAAGAGTGGGTTATGTAGATGACTTGGTTTATAACATGAACAGCATTGGAACCCTGCATAGTCAGGAGGATTGTACCCAGTGTCCTAAGGTAACTTTGCATGTCTTATTGGAAAACCAAGTGTACACATGATGATCACAAGCTTTGGACCTGGACAGATCTTATTTGATAGATGCTGCGACTTGTGGATGATGATGATGTGGACAAGCTGCGTGGCTACTCTGAGATTTCCTACTTTTGAAAAGCAGGGAACATAGACTATGTATGATGATTAAGCAGGGCCTGTTTAAAACTCTTATTACGTGTACCACATACACTGCAGACACTAGAAAGTAGCACTTTTGTTTATTATTTATCTGTATTTACTAACTTTTCTGTGTGCGCATAATTGCTAAGAATGGTGATACGAAGATTAACATGACTAACCCAGTCTTTACTTTATCCAGTAAGAAGGCAAGGAATTAATAAACAGAGCAAATGTTAGCCTAGAGAACACTGGATGCCAGGGCACATATTGGGGGAATCTCTAATGAGAGCCTGAGAAATCAAACAGAACACAGGGATGAAGAAAAACACTAAGTGAATTCTGAGTTTCTGAGTAAATTCACTGATCTCTGCCTTCCAGGTTCCCCACCCTAATACTGATAGCCTCAGATTGTGTGTGTGTGTGTGTGTGTGTCTGTGTGTATGTGTGTAAATATATATGTGTATATACATAGGAAATAATATATACGAACCAGTTAATCATTAAATATATTGACTTTGGTGTTCACAGGATAGTCCCAAGCTGTTGATTATTGTGTCTTGGGTACTTTTTAAGTGCTCCTATAAAAAAGGCTAAAAATCAAGTCACTCCTTTGTCTGGCCTGTGATATTGAAGTTCATTCAAGTGCATGCTTAATGACTGGATCATTCATGAATGCGTCCCCAGTATTGTGTTTGAAGGCTTAGAAACAACCCTGCTGGCACTGATATGTGAAGACCTGGTGCTGTGGTGTGCTCCCCTCCTGTGTGTTATCAATTTCCCAGGTTTTCATTTGATGTCTGCCCTTTGTGTTTCCCCAGCTTTCTGAGATCTGTATCCCTTGCCTGGTATCTAACCCACTTAGTTCATTCCTTTGCCTCCTTGCCTTGTTAAGGTCTGTCCTGTCCGTCATCCTGGCACTATTCTCATGGTTACCCAGCACAGAGATAGGTTATCAGTAAGTATTTATGCATTAAATGAAGGAAAGATAAAGGCAGGCTCTCTGCTTCTGCCTTTGATCTAGATAAATGTGAAAGCTGCCAGCAGATAACTAAATCCTAGTCCCAAATAAAAGGCAAGCAGGGTAGGGCTAGCTCCACGTATTTCCCAGGCATTCTTGAACTTTATGCTGGATTATTTTCACTTGTGCCATTAGGAGCCTTTTTCTATTGCTTCTAAGTTTGCAGCTATTTAGAATTACTGAGATGACAAGAATGTGTTTTCTTTCCTGCCAGAGGGAGATAGTGAGGCCCAGCCATCCATGCAGCTACAATTTCTAACAATTAGTTGTGTAGTCATTTATTTATTGATTCATTTATTTTTTGTTTATTTAAATGTGAATGAGTGTTTTGCCTGCATGTATGTAAATGCACCTGTGTTGTGCAATACCTACAGAAGCCAGAAGAGGGCATCAGATCCCCTGGAACCCAAGTTATAGACAGTTGATAGCTGCCATGTGGGTACTGGGAGTTGAACCCAGGTCCTCTGCAAGAGCAGCTAGTGCTCTTAGCCGCTGAGCCATCTCTCCAGCCCCCCCCCCACCCCCAGCTGTGTAGTCTTGTTACCCATCTAAAATTTCTCTGTCTGTATCCTTTCAGTAGGTTAAAAATAAAAATACCTCAAAGGGTCATTGCCAAGATTGAGGTACTGCATCTGAAAATTTATTCAGAGCCTAGCATATTTTTGTTATTATTGTAGTCATTTACATTTTGAGGGAATAAATTATTAAGCTGTACTCTGTTGGTATTGTCTTTTGTTTTGTTGTATATGGTTTTTTTTGTTGTTTTTTTTTTGTGTGTTTTCAAGACACGGTCTCACTGTGTAGCCCTGGCTGGTCTAAAACTTGCTATGTAGACCAGGCTGGCCTTGAACTCACAGAAATCCCCCTGCCTCTGCCTCTGAGTGCTAGGATTAAAGGCATGTATCCCCATGCCCAACAGGGTGTGCTGGTATTGTTGAATTACTTAAATGTGGATGTTTAGAGCATTTCTTGGCATACCAACATGATGGCCTGAGAATGAAACCACCATATCTCCTGATGTGAGGAACAGCACTGACTGCTACCCTAACTTCTGGCCCCCTGCAAACACCTCTGCTTTGTGTCAAGGCCAAGCTTCCCTGGGCGGCTCCTCGTGGGTGAGGGGATACAGTGAAGTTGCTAATGCCGGCTTGTTCCTGCAAGGCATAGCATGCCTTCACTGGCTAGCTTTGGCTCAAGGATACTTCATATGGGAATTTCTATGAAACGGTGCTGCAGTCTGAGATGCCTCTTCTCCAGATTTCCTTCCTCCCCTCTCTCCTTTCCAGAAGTCAGAGCTGCATCAGAGTCTGAGGCTCTCCCTGCCTTCTGCTTCCTTAGCATATATACTGACATTTCCTTTGATAAACTGTGTGCTTATATGAATACACTGCTGCTTCTTGGATGGTCGAAGCTAACATCCTAATTGTAATACTTAGAGCCCAATGTGGATATTTCTTCTACAGTGTAAAGTGAACATGTGCAGACTCTAACTTGATCTTCATGTTTTTGCATTTCCTCAGAGTTAAGAGGCAGTGTTTCTGATCAGTAATTCTCAAGGACAAGCCTTAACCTCCCTTTACTTAAGGAGGATCACTAACATTTAGGATATAATATGCTAATCTGCAGTTGGTGTTTCAAGATTGTTTTTATTTAGGACAATCCTTAATAGTCCTATGTCACTAACCTTTATGAATAAACAATATCTCCTCCCACTTAAAAAAATGGCAACTCTCCAGTGTAAATTTTACAGTCTTGCCTTTGTGCTAACTTCTTTGGTTTTCCTCTTCACTCCATCAAGCTGCCACTTGATTATTATCTTTGTGACAGACCAGGTCCAGGGAACAGTCACCATCCGGAACATCAGTGCCCTGTCTTCAGGTTTGTACCAGTGTGTGGCTTCCAACGCCATTGGGACCAGCACCTGCCTTCTGGATCTGCAGGTTATTTCACGTAAGTACAGAGAATTAGGATGCCATCTCCATGTGAAAAACTACGATTTTTCTTAAGTCATAAAATTGAGGGTTCTACTTACATGCTTTGAAGTCACATGGAAAAAATAGAAATTCCTTAGTTTTAATCATTGTTGAAAATATTTTACAAAAATGTTAATATTCTTTTTTGAGCCTTGGCAGTATGATGACCTTTGTGACAAAGTGTCTCCTCTGGATCCTCAGAATCAAGCTAATCTTCCTGATGTAAATCTGCAGTCATTGTATGGCTCTCACAAGACAGCCTTGTGTGTTTTCCCAACTCCTTTGTATCTCTGGGTGTCTGGTTATGAATAAACAGTGCAGAGCATTTCTCTATAGTGGAGAATCCGAGTTATTTTGATTCTGGTTGTAGAAGGGAGTCCTGTAGTTGGAGGAGGCCATAAAGAATCCCTCTGAGAGCCAGGACTCACTTGGGATGCCCAGGCAAGTTGCACAGGCTCTGTCTGCTCCCGCCTTGCACCAGCGGCTGTTCTTCTGGAGCCTTGGGAGGTGTTTGATGGTTCATTTATTTAACAGATGCCACGAGCCTGCTGCACGTTCGTTTGTCTAGCCATTGGGGATGCTAACAGTTAATCAAGGTTTAACTTTTATGTGGATGTGATACTTCAGGCAATTTGGTACATTTTAAGAAGGTTTATTTATGTTAATATTGTTGCATGGTATGTGTTATTTCTCCCTCTCTCTTTAAGTCTACCTTGAATGTATCTTGCAGCCCAGCCCGGAAGCATTCGAGTCCTAGCTGGAGCCATTGGCACTGGTGCCGTCATTATCATTTTTTGCATTGCACTAATTTTAGGAGCATTCTTCTACTGGAGAAGCAAAAATAAAGAGGAGGAGGAGGAAGAAATTCCGAATGAAATCAGGTTTGTATGCCGGATAACTGATCCTGCAAAGTCATCGTGTGTTTTCATTTCATTTTGGAATCAAGGTCTCTTTGAGAATCTTCTAACTCCTGTAATCAAAGTAATTGAGATGTCCAAATGATGTTTTTTTTGTACATAGATCACTTTTTCTCATTGTAATACTCATCTTTATTCATTGTGTCATTAAAGATGCTGCAGGTACTCAAATAGGAGATAAGTAAAGAGTTCTCCTTCTCCTACATGTCTGCACAGTAGATCAATGACTGCCACTCTAGAAAAGTTAGCTTAAAGCATGTGCTTTATGTTGGTCATTATAATAGACAGGAATCAGAAGTAAAGAGGAATGACCTTAAGAACATGCACAGCACTGTGGCTTGTTATGAACAAGTGTATTGGTCCTTTTCATTACTATAACAATATACTCCAAGAAGCCGAATTTATGTAAAACATTTATTTTAGCCTATGCTTCTGGAAGTGTGTTTTTTTTTTTTAAAGGAGTGTCATTTGGTGGGATCCTCCTTGCTGACAGTCTCAAGGCAGCACATAGCATCACATGGTGAGAGACAGGGGCACATGCATCTGTCTGGTCTTTTCTTAAAAAGCTGCTGGGATTCTGTTATGGTACCCTACCCTGATGACATTATTTAATCCTGAAAATCCTGAAGCCCCACCTCTCAATACCATAACTGATTATATTTTCACCCTCAAAACAGTCCACAATGGGGATCAGATTTCAGTTTAAGCCCTTAGGAGACACCCCAATGACATAAAACCATGGCAGACAGTTCAGAAAATAATATGAAATTCTTAAGAAAAATAATGTCAAGATGATCTTTAAAGAAATGTAATTTGGTAATTTGGGGCTGGAGAGATGGCTCAGTGGTTAAGAGCACTGACTGCTCTTGAAGAGGACCCAGGTTCATCCTTAACTCCAGTTCAAGGGGAATCCGAAGCCCTCTTCTGACTTCTGCAGCATTGCGTGACATGGGTGCATTCACATATGTACAAGCAATACACTCATACATATAAACTAAAAATAGTAAATAAAATATTAAAAAAGAAATGTAATTTATGAAATATGTGGAGATTTGAGGATTCAGGCTCCACCTTGGATTTTATTACATCACCTTGTTGAAAGTGCTTAAATGACATCAGTCTCCTCAGCATGTGTGGCTGGAATTCCCTCTGGGTCTCCTGCACTATCAGACAAACCATATAATATATTTTATGTGCATTTATTAACTTACAAAGGAATGAGAACCCAGTGCCTATCCCTATCCCTCTGGCAGCGTGGCTCAGAGCCCGCCATATCAGACTGCGCCATGACTACCATAGTCCCCGCTAGCATTCGCTCACGCCTCAGGGGCCAGCGATCTCGTCCCAGGTCCACAAGAGTCAATCCATTCTTTCTTTGAGCTGCTGTGGCTGGCTGCACACCAGCACCCACACCACGGGCTCTACCTGAGGCTCCCTGCTTCCATCCCAAGATGGCCCCCAGCAGCCCCTTCCTAGTCCATGCTCCCTGTAAGGCCCTGCCCATTGGAGGAACTAGCCACTTGGGAGACAGCATGACACGCCCAGCCTTTAAGGATTTGGCCCCCATGCTTCCCCAGTCTTCTGTCCCTGCTGCCCTGCTTTTCTGTGCTCTCATTTGCCAGATCCTTGTGATTTGTAAGGGCTTGAGCCGTTTTAGGGACAGATTCCATCCCAGTCTCAGACTGCTGAGGAAAGGCTCTAATCAGCACAGCACAATGGTTCTTCAAACTCTGAGATTATTACAATCTGGACACCATGCATGGCTTCCTCAAGCTCTCCATATGCATAACTTGGTTTCCTAGATATTTTATGGCAGCTACTCAGTGGATTTCTTCACAGGCTATTTTCTTTATAGTTAATATATGTGCATGTGTATTTCAGTTATATGTAACTTCATCTTTGTTTTTTCAGAGAGGATGATCTTCCGCCTAAATGCTCTTCTGCCAAAGCCTTTCATACGGAGATATCCTCCTCAGAGAACAACACATTGACCTCTTCCAATACCTACAATAGTAAATATTGGAGCAACAATCCAAAAGTTCATAGAAACAGGGAGTCCTTCAACCACTTCAGTGACTTGCGGCAGTCTTTCTCTGGCAATGCTGTCATCCCATCCATCTATGCGAATGGAAACCATTTGGTCCCAGGTCCACATAAGACTCTGGTAGTGACAGCTAACAGAGGGTCGTCACCCCAGGTCACACCCGGGAATGATGGCTCAGTCAGCAGGAAGCCTCAACCTCAGCACACACAGTCCTACACCATCAGCCAAGCAACCCTGGAGCGCATTGGTGCAGTGCCTGTCATGGTGCCAGCCCAGAGTCGGGCAGGGTCCTTGGTATAAGACATTTGGGGATGCTGTGTTAAGATGAAAATAAATGGAATGCCTACAAATAAGGAGAGAGTGGGGTGGGTGTGTGCTGGAAAGACACTTTTGTTAAGATCACATTAGTAAAAAGCACAAAGAAGAAGGCCGTCCGTTTCCTGGTTGCTGTGATGTGTCTTCAGACTGGCCTGGAGTGCTTTGAGGATAGTTTTCTCACTGCAATTTGGTTAAAATTGCTGCACCTCAACGATGTGCCAAGCCAAGGAGAAAGCTAGAAGAGCACTTATGACCCAAACCGTGGTCCGGGTGGATCTGTTCTTTAATTCTTGCCCAATTTAATCATTTTCAGGAGACTAAAGTGCCAGGTGAAGTTTAAATATTGAAATTATTTTTAAAAAATAGGTGTCTTTAGAAGAAAATTTTGAGCAACCCTGTGGCATGTTCTGCCTCCTACTCCTTTATAAGGGCAAGGGCTTAATGGTACTAGCCATAGTGTCCCAACTGGGCTGGCTCTTTATCATAAAGTCAAAACTTTTTACTGACAATATTCAGTGAGAAATGGGGGGAAACAAAGGAAACCTCTTGGAACCCCTTGGTGTTTATTTATTTACCTCTTCCTGAACCATGAATTTCATATTTGGAATTGAGCTATATTGACAGATTCTTATGCCTGTCTCTGTTATTCTGGGATCTGTTATAGGTCCACGGCAATTACTGTTCATTATTTTCTGAAAAATAGTTTTTTTTTTAAAGAAACTTTCTTTTTTAAATGCTTGAGAGGCATTCAGCTAGGAAAGCAAAAACTTTACACCTTACCTTGTTCAGTGATTGTGTTTAGCGAGCCCAGCAGGAGGCTTGTCACAGAAAAGGTTCTGGAGGTTGACTGGGCAGTGAAGAAGCTGGAGGCAGGAGGGAGCAGCCTTCCCCTGCTCTCAGAGGCTGGAAAGGAGCAAGGTTGTCCAGGGCTACTTTACTATCACAGGGGTTGCTCTTAATGAGGGCAGAACCTGATGCCTTTTGTACTGAGGAAGATAATTCCCTCTTGTTTGACAAATAGAGGTTAGTAGATTGTTATAGGAAGGGTAGGAATTGTTTTGGTTTTGTTGCTTTCAAAATAATTCTTTTTGCAAAAGAGATAAGAGTTAGACAAATGGGGGGTATCTTCCAGGGTGCTCTTGGAGGGTCTGCCCTGGATCTGAAAGCTCAGGGTTGCAATTTTGCCTGAATCCATTGCGTACGAGTGTAAAGAGACTCCTTTTTGTGATTAATTACTTGGCTTGGCTGGCCTTGCAGTTTACTGAATTCATTTACAGACTCTCTACTCTGTTTTGTGCTGTGTATATCAGGCTGTACTTGTATTGGTGGCTATTCGCCTTAATCACACGTTAGGCAACCCTAGGTGATTTCTTCCCAGATTTGTTGCTAAGTTATTTGTATTGCCCCCACAATTTAGAGAGAACATTCTTGCTTTCTTTGCGTGCTCTTCATCTCTCATCCCGCCATGCTGCTTGCCTTCTTTTTCTTCATAGGGAGTGACCTCCTGGCTTCTCAGTTATTTGAGTAAATGGAAACCATCAGCTGCTGCAATACTGTTTTTCCAAGAGGGCCACATTCAGAACTTAACTATTGTGACCGTTTTAATGTTGATATAAAAAGCTGCATTTATCTTAGCATTACTTATTTTTTTCCATTTGATGGTTCTTGACTTTGTAAAAATTTAAATAAATGAATGTCTACTTTTTATAAGGAAAAGTGAAAATACCATGTCACAGAAAAGATGATACTGTCAGATGCTCTTTAGAAAGCATTATCTTGCATTTCTTTATTCTTTCTAATTATCTAAAATTCAATAAAAGTTTATTCATGTAAAATAAGTTGTCATTGTCATAGTAGTAATAGACATATGGGTTTCAGTTTACTGTTTCCTTGACACTATATACACTTTTCCATTCTGCAAAATAATATCCATAATCATTTTAATGCGCTTATAGTATTTCAAAAATTAAACTTTCTTCTATTACAATTAAAGTAGATTATAGTTCTCACCCATTTGACTGAGAATGTAATGTCCCACTTTGTACCTGTAGCTATTTCTAAAGTATTAATCTGGAAGTTGGTGAAGACAGGGTCCAGCCTGCGTTCTTCACTACTGAATCCCCATCTCCTACTACAGTGTCTGCTGTGGGTACTACAAAACGAGGATTTCTGAGCTGAAATTGCCCATCCAAATTAGGGACATGATTATATAGTAACTCCTGATACATACTGGACCACATTTTTCTGGAAGAAATGTAAACTTTGTTTTAAACTTTTTCATTTTGAGGTAATAATTTACATGTAGCTGTAAGAAATTATAGGGATCACAAATACTCTTCACTTAATTCTCTCCACAGTGATGTCTTGAGTAGCTTTGATATCATATCACAGATTAATATTAAGTCAATCTTTTAATTAAAAATTTTTTTATTTTATTTTATGTATATGAGTGTTTTGCCTGCATATATGTAAGTGCACACATGCCATGCAATGCCCCTGGAGGCCAGAAGAGGATGTTGGATCTCCTGGAACTGGAGTTAGAGATGATTGCTAGTTGCCATGAGGGTGGTAGGAACTGAACCCTGATCCCCTGCAAGAGTAACTAGTGTTCTGAACTACTGAGCCATCTTTCCAGCCCCAAATCCATCTGTCTTAGTCAGAATTCAACATCTGTGCTTGTACTCATTTTTGGATGTGTACACATTTAGTTATATGTTTTTATTTGTGAGATCAGGTCTTGCTGTGTAGCCTAGGCTGGGCTTGAACTTGTCCTTCTGTCTCTGCTCCTCAAGTGTTGGGATTACAAGTGTGCCTCACAACACCTAATGCTAGTTATATGTAATTTTATTTATTTATTATTTTTATTTTATGTGTATGTGTGTATTGCCTGCATGTAGGTAAGTGAACCCATGTCATGCAATGCTCACAGGGGACAGAAGAGGCTGTTGGATCCCCTGCGACTGGAGTTACGGACAGTTGTTAGCTGCCATGTGGGTGCTGGGATTCGAACCTGAGTCTTCTGCAAGAACAACCAGTGTTCTTAACTGCTGAGCCATCTCTCCAGTCCCCGTTATATGTAATTTTATCACATGTAGATTCATGACCACCATGCCAGCAAAGATATAGTAGTCCATGTTCTACTGTTTCAGAGCGACAGCCACCTCCCCCTCCTAGGTCCCTATCCCTGAAAAGTCACCATCCTGTTCTCCATCTCTGAAATGCTTTCATTTTGATAATGCTGCAATGCAATAAAGAATGAAACTTTTAAGGATTGGCTCTTAGGGTCATTGAGAACCGTCCATGTTATTGCATATATGAATCATTTGTTCCTTTTTGTTGGTGAGTAGCATTCTGTAAAATGAATACAACTCAGTTCACTTAACCACTGAGCAGTTGAAAGATAGGAAAGACTTTGGGATTATTTCCAGTTTTTGTCTTTTATGAATAAATCTATAAATATATGTATATGGATTTTCATGTGAACATGGGTTTTATTTCTCTAGGGTAAGTGTCTAAGAGTGTAGTTTCTGGCTAAGCATGTGTTCAGTTTTGGAAGAAAATGGCACACTCTTCCAGAGTGGCTGAACAGCTTTATCTTTCTTCTAGCAAGAATGAGTGTCCAAGTTTACCTGCATGTATAGATTTGGGTATTATCAACACTTTATTGTAGCTATTTTGGTGGTTAGGTAGTGAGACCTCACTGTTGTTTGAATTTGAATGTTCAGTGGCTAATGCTAGTGATGGTGAATGCATTTTTAAGCACTTGTCATTGCTATATCCTAATATATACTATTTATGTATATCCAAAGATATCTCCATATATTTTATTTATACACACACATTTCCTCCCAGGTGCAAGTTTTTGTTAGCAAATGTTAGCAAATATTTTTTCCGTCTGTAACTTACCTTCTCAATTTCTTCATGGAGTCTTTCACAGAGTGAGTTTCAACTTTGATGAGGTCTTGCTGGTACTGTAGCACGTACCCTGTAATGCCAGCAACTGCAGTGCTGAGGCATGAGGATTGTGTGCTTAAGGCCAGCTTGGACTTTACCTCATTTGATCTTAGCCAAAAAGCAGAGAGGTGATGTAAGGCCTTAACTAAAAAAATAATTTAGACAAGGTCCAACTTAATAGTTTTTCCTTTAAATTTTTATTTATTTATTTACTTATTATGCATTTATTACTTGTGTGTGGAGGGCGGTATGTGAGTGTGTGCACATGTCATGGCCTGGTTGTGGAAATCAGAGGATAACTTGTATGAGTTGGTTTTCTTCTACTGTGTTTGTTCCAGGGATTGAACTCAGGTCATCAGTCTTGGTGACAATACCTTGCCAGGCAGTTTTTCCTTTTATGGATTTTAATTTTGGCACCAAATCTAAACTCTTCACCTAGACCTAGGACCTAAAGATTTTCACCATTTTTTCATTAAAAGTTGTGTGCTTTCACATTTACTTCTCTGATCTGATTTTTTTTTTTTTAACAGTAAGTGAAGTTTAGGTTGAGGTTTATTTTGCCTTATAGGTCTAAGTGCTCTCTGTTCTTCCTCATATAAATTGCTTTTCCATCTTTGTGAAAGATCATCTTGGCATATTTGTGTCTCTTTCTGAGATCTCCCTTGATCTTTTTGTGACTTTCCATCCACATATACCATATTAACCACTGCAGCTACTTAATAAGCTTTAGCATCTGCTTAACTAGTGTCCTGGTTTGCTTGGCTTTTCTGTTGTTAAACCCTGACCAAAACCAACATGGGGGAGAAAGGATTTATTTGGCTCACAAAGTCACAGTCTGTCCTCAAGGATAGCCAAAACAGGAACAAAAGGCAGGGACCCCAGGAGGAAACTGCAGCAGAGGCCACAGAGGAATGCTGCTTACTGGTTTGCATCCTCTGGCTTATTCAGCTCCCTCTATATAGTCAAGGGCCACCTGGCTAGGGATGGTGCTGCCCATAGTGGGCTGAGCCCCTTCTATGTCAAATAGCAATGAAGAAAACACCCCAGAGGTCCACAGGTCAATCTGATGGAAGAAATTCCTCTTCCCTGGTGTCTCTTAGTTTGTGGCAACAAAAACTTGCCAGCATACTTCTAATCCATGAATATGTTACATCTCCCCATTCCTTTAGGTCTTTGATTTATTTCACTAATATTTTGTAATTTTCAGGATACAAATACTACAAATGTTTTATTGGATTTAAAATTAATTGGATTTTAAATTAATTATTTCATTTTTGGACACACTTATAAATACTGCCAAACTGTAGATTTTTATTTTCGTATATTTGTTGTTAGTAAATTAAAATGTAATTGTATTTTGTGTGTTGATCTTGTATCCTACAGTCAGATCTATTTTTTTCTAACACTATTTTTTATAGAGCCCCTGAGATTTTTCTTCCTATGTGAGTATGATGTCTATAAATAGATGCAGTTTTATTTCTTCATTTTTATGTATCTTTTATTTCTTTATCTTACTAATTGCAATGGTTAGAACTTACAGTAGGATGTTAAAGTGATAAGTGTGAAGTTCTTCCCTTGTTCCCTGTCTCGGGGGAAAGCATTAAGTTATTATCAAATATGTTTGATGTAGTTTTTCATAATCCTGTATTAATTGAGGAAGTTTTATTCTATTACTAGCTTGCTGAGAGTTTGGGTTGTTGTTTTTAAAGGAAAGTGTGAATGAGTATGGATTTTGTCATCTTCTGCATTTCTTGTCAAAATGGTGGTTTTTCTTCTTTAGCCTGTTGGATATGCTGGACTACATTGGTGGGTTTTCAAATATTGAACAGGCCTTAGGTACCTGGAATAAATCTCAGTTGGGCATAGTATTCAGTTATTGCTGGATTTGACTTGCTAATATTTATTGAGGTTTTAATGTAACAAGTTCATAGAGTTTTCTAGTGAAAACTACATCTGGTAACAAGTTCATAGAGTTTTCTAGTGAAAACTACATCTTGTTCTGGAGTAATTTCAGTAATTTCTGAATTTCAGGTAATTTAGTTTCTTACCTGGCAATGTGACTACTAAAACCATTCAGCTTCTTTGAGGTTTAGTAGCTTGTGGTTTGTAAGGTGTCAGTCCATTTTTTTCTTTTTTCTGGTTTGTCAGTTTTATGGCATAAAACTATTGACATCACATTATTATTATTATGATTATTATTATTAAATTTTTAAGTACAGGGTCTTCCTGTGGCCCCCCTGGCCTGGAACTCACTGTAGACCAACCTGGCTTCAATCTTACAGAGATCCACCTGCCTCTGCCTCCTGAGGCTGTGGTTAAAGGTGTGCACCACCATACCAGGTTCCTTATTTTTGAATGAGAGTTCAGGCTGCAGTGATATCCCATTTGATTCCTGCTGTGGGTGATTTGTATCTTTCACTTTTTAAATTTTTGTGTGTTTGACTAGAAGGTTGTCAATTTTACTGATTTCTTTTCCTCCACAGGAACAGCATTTTGTTTCATTACTGTTTTACATTTGTTTTTAAGTTTTAGCTTTATTGATCTGTATTTATTATTTACTCTCTTCAGATTGTTCATTTTTTCACCTTTGTCAGTTTATGCTTCATGTAGTTTGAGACTTTTTGGTGTGCACATGAACACGTTCGTGTGTGTGTGTGTGTGTGTGTGTGTGTGTGTGTGTGTGTGTGTGCCTGGCATCCCGAAAATAGATCCCTTTATTGTTATGTAGTGTGTCTTTTCTACTAATTGCACTTTCTCTGGCATTAACTT